ACTAGCCTCTGAGTCACCAGCATGAGCTCAGACTTCTGGGCCTTGTGTGTGTGGACTCCATGGGCCAAGCTTCAGCAGCAAGAGGTGAGCCCTGTGTCTGCAGGGGAGCCAGGGACAGCTCTGGGCTGTGGTACCAGCTTCAGCCTGCACCCTGGGCAGTGTCCTGTGTTCATGGTGTCTGAGGCCTCAGGCCAGGAGAGCAGCACAGGGAGGCTGGAACAGGCCCTTGGCTGCCCCATGCAGGCTGGTGTCATGAGGAATGGGGGCTCTGTAGTCAGGCCTAGGTGGATGCTCCTCTCTGGTCAACCACTCACATGACCTTGGGCTTCAGGCTTCAGGGAGGCTGTGTGAGAAGACCCCTTGCCCCTAGGAAGCTCCCTCAGTGGATATATGCCGGCTGCTTTAATAGTAATCCTCTGAAAATCCCTCAGGGCAATAATATTGTTCCTATTTTCCAGATGAAGTGTCAAAATCAAGACTCCCCCACTAGGGGCCTATCCTCTTTTATTCCACCTGCGTCTATCAGGCGCCTCCCCTGGGCCCTGCCTGCCCTCACTCATCTCAGAGCTAATGGTGCTTTGCAGAGCTCCAGGTTACAGTGGGCAGGCTCCTGACAGGCTGCAAGAAAGCAGGGCAGGCCTTTGGTGGGGCTGAGCCTCGGGAGAGAGGTACAGCTGCCCAGCTGGAGGAGAGAGAAAAGGGCCTGGGAAAGCTGGGCGTGGTGACATTGGGACGGAGTAGGAGAGGATCACAGTTAGGGCCACACTCTAAGTCTTGTCTGCCAGGCTGGGGGTTTAGGCTGTCTGACCTGAAGGTGAGAGGCACATGGGCCCTCCTGGCAGTTGTGGCCTCTGTGCCTCTTAGGCTCCTATTTCACAGGCTTGGAAACCAGGGCACGGAGAGCTGTCAGCTCAGCCTCATTCTCCCTCCCCTGGTGCTCCTGCCCTCTCCCCACCCCCACCCCCACCCCTGTGCCTTCATAACCTTTGCCCAGGCTGACCCCCACACACATACACACACCCCACTATCCTCTTGTCAAGAGGATGGGCAGGTGGCCCTTGGGGTGAGAGACCCCAGGGTAGAGTGGTCAGGGGACGTGTGTTTGAGGCTCAACTCTCTGCCCTAAACCAATAGTCTAGCCTCTCTCGAGCTTATTTCAGCCTTGGTGAAGGGGGCTGAGGGTGAGTGAGTGGAACATTCAGGAGCTGGCCCAGCTGCCTTCAATGAGGGGCTGTCCAGGACTCTTGGGTGGCCTCCTCCTTTGTTCTCCTTTTACCTCTGTCTGTCTCCTCAGTCAGTGTGTCCTGGCTCTGGACACAGAGCGGGGCAGACAGCCCTCCCCTTCCTCCCAGCTCTAGTGATAACAGCTGGCCCAGCCACACTGTTCCTGTCAAGGGAACCACCTCCACAGCAAATGCCCCTCTTCAGTCTCACAGACCCAGAGATGCTGAGGCGGCAGCAAAGGGCTTGTTGCTTTGAAGAGAAGCTTGGGGTCATGAGGGGCAGCACTTCTGTGGCCAGAGGAGGTCCTGATGTCTCCAAGGAGGCTCTGCCTTGAGGCTCAGTTGACGGTAGCTGCCCCTGTCAGGAGTGTTGCTCTGAGGGGCTGGGCATGGAAATGGGCTCAGCGGGGAGGAGTGGGAGGAGGAACAGGAAAGGCCCGGGCTTTCCCGCCGTGCCCTGGCTCCAGTGTTCCATCTGCTGCCGGGCAAGGGGTAGACAGTGGTTTCTGGGGCCTGTCCAGCTGCTGCTCTGAACTAGCACTTTCTCCTCTTCCCCATCCCAGTGAGAACCCCCTGCCCACGGTGGAGATTGCCATCCGGAACACAGGCGATGCTGACCAGTGGTGCCCGCTGCTAGAGACCCTGACAGATGCTGAGATGGAAAAGAAGATCCGTGACCAGGACAGGAACACAAGGTACCCCCACACACACCTCACCAGGCCCCTGCGGCTGGTTCTGCCCACTGGCACTGTCTTCCAGGAATGTGTGGAACGATCGCCTTTCCCCAGTGACCTCGTTTTTGGGATGGGACCTAGGTGACCAGAGGCAGGCCCCAGAGTGATGAGTCCCAATCTAGCTCCCACAGTGCAGGTTTCAAACCCTGCAGGGAGCAAAAGTAAACCCTCTTATTGGGTCTGACTACCAGCCCAGACCCAGGTTTCAGGACCCCTGGAGAGGTGGACAGGGCCTGAGCAGGCAGGAGAGAGGGCAGCTTCAGGGCCCCAAACAGCACACAGGTCGAGGCTGGGGGAAGAGAGGGGTTGGGGATCCCACCTGCTATGTCCTTTCTCTGTCTCCACGTCCCTGGCTGCCCTAGAGAGCCCCAGGGGATGGCAGCTGGGAGCTGGCCCTGGATCACCACCCTCTCCCCTCCTGCAGGCGTATGAGGCGTCTCGCCAACACTGCCCCGGCCTGGTAACCAGCCCATCAGCGCTTGGCTCCCACGGAGCGTTCAGAAGACCGGCCCGCCTCTCCATCTTCTGGCAAGGAGGGAGGCAAGGGGGCAGCCCAGGGCCATCCTGAGGAGCACGGGCAGGGAGGCCTTCCAGGTCACCCTCCCCCGGGCACACATTCCATTTGCTGAGCCCCAGTTCCCGCCACCCCAGTCTCTGGTCAAGAAGAGGCCTCGTTTTGGGTTGTGTTTTGTTTTTGTATAGGAGCCCCAGAAAGGGCTAGCAACACTTTTTAAATAAAAGGCAACAGGTCATGTTCCATTTCTTCAAAGTGGTAGCATCAAAATAAGAATGGAGGAGAGCAGGGAGTGGAGCCTGCTGGGGGTGGGGTGGGGCCAACCCTGGTGGGTGGGGCCTCTCACTTGGCTCTGCCTCCGATCCCCAGGTGGGCAAGTGGGTGTTGACCAGGCTCCGGGGCTCCACAGTCAGCCACCTCGACCCCTGCAAGGCCTGAGTCGGAGTGTAATCTTTGCTTTTCTTCAGGCCTTCCAGCTTCCCCACCACCACCCATGCTCAGATATCCTTGCAGAGTGGGAGAAATGACGAGTGTGGTCATGAGGCTCAGAGGGTGGGGGCCCACTTGTCTTTCGTGGCAGCCTCACTCTACCCCCTTTGCTTGGCCTTGTGAAGCAGCTGATGGCTCTCCCGCTATCCAGAGTCCCTTGCACAGGACCCATTCAGTGCAGACACTGCAGAGCATCACCAGCTTGGTGACCAGCTATTCCAGCTTCAGCAGGTATACAGCTCTAGCCACACCTCCCCGTAGCTCATATGCCACAGGTAGACTGGGGCCCATCCACGTCCACCCCTGGCTGGTGCCATGGCCCAGGCCACCTCCTCCCTACCAGGCTGGCTGTGAGGGAGAACTCACATGGAGCATGCCTGGCCCAGTGCTGGCTTGGGGTGGGGCTGTGTGTAGAGAAGGAAGCACAGCCCTGCGCCTCTCCCCAGCTCTGCCCCTGATGAGCATGTTATCCCCTCTGCGTCCTCCCCTCATCTGTTAATGTGGAAGTGTCTATATTACAGAAGGGACATGGGATCCGTAAGTGCAAGCACTGCTTGGGGACTGGCACACAGCTACACTTACTGATGATAATGGGCCCAGACTCCCAATACTGGACTGGTGTCACCTTCCGTTGCTGGCAGATCCTTCCCCAGCCATGGCAGGGGCTGAGGGTCAGGATTGCTCTGCTCCTTGGGAACGTGGTTGGGGCCCTGTGGCACCTGGCTCCTAGCCCAAGGAGGGATTAGGGTTCTCAGTTGCCAGGATGTAGGGTGAGATGGGCCTTGCCATCTGGGCTCCCGTGAGCACGTCATAGGACAGCTCCCAGGGGTTTTGTACTCAAGCTCCTACCTTTTCACCTAGGAGTGGAAACGTGCTGGAGCAAGGGGCCAGCTGGTCTTCACTGGAAGGCTCTGACAAAAAAGACTCTCGGCCCAGGCCCAGCCGGCCTTGGAAGCAAGTGGGCTGTATTAACAAGGTGTTGGTCTGTGGGACAGGAGACAGCCCTGGGCCTCCACAACTAGTGGGATGGAACGAACCCTGTGTGCCTCAACCCTGCTAAGCACCTCGACCCACCTAGCTGGGAGAGGCCTGGGGCAGGGCCAGTGCACCAGGTCTGGGGCTAGGCCCTCACCCATACTGCTGCAGGGCCAGGTGCTGCTCCATAGGTTTTGCTACAAAATTAAGATCAACTCTATGACAATTTATTTTTGTCATCCATGAACGTGACAACCCCTGTACTATTGATCATCCAGAGATAAACCAGACGGGTCTAGGGCAATAAGGAAAGCTGGCCCTGTTGTCTGATGCCTACTCTACAGAAAAGTGAGCTGCAGGATCAGATAAAGCTCCCATGGTCCTCAGCTAACAAAGGCCGTGAAAGGACTTCCCAGAGGTCTCTGCCTCCGCCAGTGCAGGACTATGCTAAGGCGAAAACTTCTCAAGACTTTGTGGTCACAGAAAGGGCAGAGGACCCAGTCTTAGCTCTCCTCTGCACCTGACCCCATGGGGCCTTGGCCTGTTAGTTGCTTAGCTGAAAAATGGGGCAAAGGTCCACTTATTGGTTGCTGGTGAGGGACAGGAGGGGTTGAGTGAAGCATCAGCCTGAGGGCACCACAGGCAGGAGCCCCCGCAGACCAGGCTCAGCACAATGGGGACAGCCTGCTGCCAACCCCCTCACTGACTGGCAGGGAGCAGAGGCCCAGCGTAGGTGGTATTTATTTCCCTAAGGCTCTATTGAGGCATTGGGAGGGCTGTGACGAGAACCCTGTGTCTGCCATTTGTGAACTCAAAGCTCTGCTGGGCAACTGGACAGGTTCTTGACCCTGTCTGGGCCTCCCATCCTACCAGCTTAATATTGGTTTGAGAGGGCAGTCCAGGCTTGGTAGGAGTAGAGCTACGCCCTGGGCCAGCCCCACCCCCATGGCAGAGGATGGATAGGGTGGACAAGGCTTGGTGGCCCTAGTTGAAGGCCAGCTGCACCTGCCCAGCATGGAAGGGTGTGGCTGGACAAGACGGAGCCAATACTGTGGGCAAAGAGGCTGCAAGTCATTCGATTTATTCAGGTGGGCCCTGGGCATGGGCCCAGCCTCCAGGACAGGTTGCTCTGCTGCAAGCAGGGATTAGGAATGGGATGGAAACAGACCCCTGGAGCTAGCCCTGGCCTTGGATGGGGTCACTGCTGCAGGGGTCCTGGCTGCTCCTCAGGGAGGGGCAGGTAATTGGTGTCCTCTTCTGGGGCATCCAGTAGCAGCTTCCTATGGGGAGGGACCCATGCTGAGCTGAGGCCAGCATGATTCCCCCAGGGTGTTGGGAGATAGCTGAGGGAAAACAGGGGCAGGGTTGTCATCTCCAGCACTCACAGGAAGCTGGGGGTCAGCAGTAGCCTCTTGCCTCCAGGCTGGTTGGGAAAGACATCCTCCAGGAAGTAGTAGATGTGGCCAACAGCAATCCCTGTGGGAGAGCTGCAGACTGCTGAGGCCACCCTCATTCTACGGTCCAGAGCCCAGGGCCACTACAGCCTGCTCTAGGCCTTCATATACAATCCTAGAAGCCCAGCCAGGCCCAGAGAAATCTCAGGTCTCAGAGCATGAGTGCCCAATGCCTGCAGATTGCCAGCCCAGGAAAGGGCTGGGGTTGGCACTGAAAGACAGTCTTATAGGACCCAGAAGTGAGCAGGACCTGCTGAGGGGAGGGCCTGAGAACATCGGAGGAGTGGGAGCCATGGCTGGAACACTGACCCACCCATCCCCTCCCTGGTCAGAACCCATATAAGCATCAGCAAGAGAGGTATGAAGATGTGAAGCTTGTAGGCCGGCTGACTTGTTCAAGGAGCTGTAAGAACAGAGATGCTGGGAGGGCAGAAAGAGGGGTTGGGTGGGGGTGGGGGTGGGGGAGTTTGAG